CAGAGCCTTAAGGGCAAGCTGCACATGCTCAGTTTGGTGTGATGTCTGATCCTGTCTTCTCTGATTCTCCCCTTCTTCTAATGTCCCCAATCCATTTTCTGATAGTACAGAGCCTTAAGGGTAAGCTGCACATGCTCAGTTTGGTGTGATGTCTGATCCTGTCTTCTCTGATCATCCTCTTCTTCTAATGTCCTCAATCCACCTTCTGATAGTACAGAGCCTTAAGGGCAAGCTGCGCATTCTCAGTCTGGTGTGTATTGCTAAAGAGCGGTTTTGGTTTTTTTTCTTGGGAGAGTGCATGTGATCAGCACAGGGCCAATCAGCACTATCCAGACAGAGGGTCAGGGGTCCTGCAGCCTCAAAGGACATTCAGGGGAGAGTGCAAACTTCTCCTACAAGCTTTAACCAGTGCTCTGCTGGGCACTGATAGAAGTCACAAGACTGCTCTAACTACTGATGAGAAAAGGTATTTAGCAGTTTATATTTACTAAAATAATTGCATTTCCATGTTCTGTGTACTGTGGGAGACCAGATATAGTGAATGCAGGGTTATGGGAGACCAGGTATAGTGAATGCAGGGTCCGGGGAGACCAGATATAGTGAATGCGGGGTCCGGGGAGACCAAATATAGTAAATGCAGGGTTCTGGGAGACTAAATATAGTGAATGCAGGGTCCGGGGAGACCAGATATAAGGAATGCAGGGTCCGGGGAGACCAAATATAGGGAATGCAGGGTCCTGGGAGACCAGATATAGTAAATGCAGGGTCCTGGGGAGACCAGATATAGTGAATGCAGGGTCCTGGGAGACCAGATATAGTGATTGCAGGGTCCAGGGAGACCGGATATAGGGAATGCAGGGTCCTGGGGAGACCGGATATAGTGAATGCAGGGTCCAGGGAGACCAGATATAGTGAATGCAGAGTCCTGGGAGACCAGATATAGTGAATGCAGGGTCTGGGGAGACCGGATATAGTGAATGCAGGGTCCAGGGAGACCAGATATAGTGAATGCAGGGTCCGAGGAGACCGGATATAGTGAATGCAGGGTCCGAGGAGACCAGATAAAGTGAATGCAGGGTCCGGGGAGACCAGATATAGTGAATGCGGGGTCCGGGGGGGCCAGATATAGTGAATGCAGGGTCCTGGGAGACCGGATATAGTGAATGCAGGGTCCTGGGAGACCAGATATAGTGAATGCAGGGTCCAGGGAGACCAGATATAGTGAATGCAGGGCCTGGGGAGACCAGATATAGTGAATGCAGGGTCTGAGGAGACCAGATTTAGTGAGTGCAGGGTCCGGGGAGACCGGATATAGTGAATGCAGGGTCTGGGGAGACCGGATATAGTGAATGCAGGGTCCAGGGAGCCCAGATATAGTGAATGCAGGGTCCTGGATTTAGTAAAACTTGAATGCATTAATAATAAAAAAAAAGTAGGATATACTGCATTTTGTATGCAGCACAGTGTGATGCAATGCACTACACTACTGTCAGCTCCATACGTTTTTTGCAGCTGTTACAAGGTGTCTCACTCCTCCTGTTGGATTTTTTCCTTTATTTTACACTATTTTAGAATAGAGAACATGCAACCTCTTCCATATCAAAAGTCAATTTTACAAGCATTCAACGGGTGTGGTTGTGTTGTATCTAATGTGTTTAAAGCAAACATTTATTATATTGCAGCTTACCAATTCTTAGATGAGATGTCAGCACTAGTTTTCTTCTATAGGCTTTCTTTCTTCTATTTTCATCTGGTGATCCAGCCAGTAAGTCTGTTGTTTTTAAAAAAATAACAAGCTCTCTTCCACATGTATCAGTTTACAGAGATGGAACTAACCATTCAGCACTGAATGGGGTGCTTACAATGAACAGCTTTTATTTTTTTTGTATGTAAAACCTTTATCTCCAAAGGAAAAAGAAAAATGTTTGCTGAAACTGCTTATGAAGTGTGAGCTAGAGTTATGCTTTAATTCGTTAGTATATTTAAATCTGCTAGCACATTTAACATTACTCTCCTCCAAGCCTGACAATGCTGCTGTCCAAAGGTGCCCTTGCGCTCCTTCATCCAGAGTGGGGGAACAGGTATGTCACTGGCCAGATCACCAGGTGAAAACAGAAGGGAAAAAAAAGCCTAAAAAAGAAAACGAATGCAGCTAGCTGCAATATATTACATTTTTGTTTCTGGGTTTTATACTGATATAAAGCAGAACTTCATTCAAAGGGAAGTCCCTGTGACGGGGGTCACTTTGGGTGGGGGGGGGTCCATGGAACCCCGCTCAGTTTGGAGAGGTGGGGAGACCCCTGTCTCAGCTCCCCATAACCCTATTATGTGTAAGTCACCCTGTGCCTGTTAGGGGTACAGGGTGATCTGTCCTAATATTGTGTAGACATGTCTAGGAGATATGTGGGGTGGGGGTTGTGGATTGTTTGATGTTATGTGGTTGCATCCCATTGTTCTATTGTGTATCTGGCTTGGGAGCAAACTATTATGGGATGTATGTGTTTATGTGTATTGGCTTAGTGGGGGGTGTCTCCAGCAGCCCTCCCTCCTAATGGGACTGGCTGCTGGTGTGTCTCTTGTTACTAAATGTTGATTGCCTGCCCTGTGCCATTATGCAGGGAGGGGGATCGTTCCCTTGAGTGTATATAATTTGTATCTGTGTTAAAATAAACTAGTCTACCTTCTGGATTACTTAAAGACTGGTGTCGTCTAGTCTTGTATGGTCTGCGGTGGTGTCCGTGGTCGGTGTTCGGATGGGGAAGCGATATTCTAACGGAAGTACCCAAGCGCAGTTGGGGTCCAGTTCCGTTACAGTCCCACTTTATGTCCTCCTCTCCTGCCACATTTGGCATTTAATTTTTTTGGTGGGGGAGCAGGTGCCTAGTATTGATAGGTACCCGCTCCCATTTCTGCTCATATCACCAAGGGGATGCAAGTGGAAGTTCTCCTCACCCACTCCCTCCCATGACAGGTCCCAAAAGACTTCCAGACCACTCACAAAGCGCAGAGCGGCTTGCACATGCGCAATGGGCAGCTGGCTGTGAAGCTGAAAGCAGCATAGCCGGCTGCCCATAGTTAGGATGCTGGTGCCGTGAACCTAAGGGCTAGTGAAGAGCCAGCTCGAGTGAAGACAGCTTTGGTTTCCTGGACAGGTAAGTGTCCTTTTATTAATTTTTTTTCCATAATGAACCTCCTCTTTAACCACTTGCGCTCCGGAAGATTTTCCCCTATCGTGACCAGGCCATTTTTTGCTATACAGCGCTGCTTTACTGTAACTGACAATTGCACGGTCATGCAACACTGTACGTAAATGTAATTTCTTCCCCCACAAATAGAGATTTCTTTTGGTGGTATTTGACCACCTCTAGGTTTTTTATTTTTCGTGCTATAAACAAAAAAAGACCAACAATTTTGAAAAAAAAAATTATATATATTTTTTACTTTTTGCTAATAAATTTATCCAATAAAAAAAATATAAAAAAATCTAATTTCTTTGATTAAAAAAATAAATTTAAATAAAAATACTTTAGATAAAAATGTATTCTGTATACATATTTTTGGTTAAAAATAATCCCAATAAGCATACTGTATATTGGTTTGTGCAAAAGTTACAGCGTCTACAAACTATGGTTAATACTGGATTTTTTCCAGTATGCTGGATCAGCAAACTCATAGCAGGACTGCGATATTGCAGCTGACAATCTGACACTTTGTAGGAACCAGTGACACGAACACAAAGATCAGTGCTGTAAAATATACCCTCTCACTGTATTAATGACACTGGCTGGGAAGGGGTTAAACATTTAGTTAGATCAAAAGGTTAACTGTGTGCCTATCCAGTGTTTTTGTGTACCCAGTATGGTGGTTGTACTAGGCAACGTACTGGATTTTCTTTCCCCGCAGATTGCCGCTGATGTTTACATAGGCAGAGCTTCCCATATGGAAGAAAAAATATATTTGAAATATATTTTAAAAATATTCCTCCCAAATATATTGCCATATAGTTGAAACGCTACAATTTTGGCCATATTCAATATATTTCTAAATATATTTCAATAAATAAATATATATATATATATATATATATATATATATATATATATATACTGCATGACGAAATGTGTTTTTATTACAAACTATATGAAAAATATTTTCTCAAATACATTTCAAATATACTGTATGTCTTTAAAAATACAAATCTAAATTTTTGGAATGTATTTACAAATAGATGTAAAAATATATGTTAAAATGACTTCCCATATGGAAGAAAAAAATATTTTTGAAATAATTTTAAAAATATTCTTCCCAAATATATTGACATATATTTGAAATGCAAAAATTTTGGTCATATTCAATATACTTCAAAATATATTTCAATAAATATATATATATATCTATAGAGATATATATATAGATATATATATATAGATAGATATATATACTGCATGTTGAAATGCATTTTTATTACAAAATATATGAAAAATATTTTTTAAAATAAATTTAAAATATACTGTATGTCTTTATAAATACAAATCTACATTTTTGGAATGCATTTACAATCTATGTAAAAAAATAAGTTAAAATTACTTTTTTATATGTTAAAAAAAATCTGAAGAATATATTTTAAAAGAATCTGAAGAACGTATTTTTAAAAAATCTGAAGAATATATTTTTCAAAAATACATAATTTTGCACAGGACGGCCGCCCTGTAGCAGTATATCTGTTGTAGGGCGGTCAGCAAATGGTTAACTTGCCATTAGCAGCACAGCCATGCAAACATTGCTTAATTGGCGCACAGCACAACTTCTGCACACAGATGCACACATACTTCTCAATTGTCTGTTATAAACCGTTCCTACAGAATCACATAAATATATCAGATGAGCTCCAATCCGTACACTTCAGACATCAGACCAGCCCCAATCCAGCGTAGGGAGCTGTCAATGCAATTGTGATCCAGCTCCAAAGGCATCGCCTGGTCTAGTCAGATATGCATGCTGGGGGCAGGGGCGGACTGACCATTTGGAAACTCGGGCACTGCCCGAGGGCCCGGGGTCAGTAGGGGGCCCCATGAGATGCCCCTGGTACCTTTTTCATAGGCTTTTTTGAGCTTGGGCAAGGACACAGGGGCCCCATGATCCCCTATTGTCCGGGGGCCCATGAGTTGTCATTCCGCCCTTGGCTGGGGGTTGTCGATAGAAAAATAAAGCAGAGCACCTAGTTGGACAAAAGCAGAGAAACGAACTCTAAGCCCAGTTCACACTGATGCGGTGCAGAACTTGCAGCGTTTTCAGTGCGAATTCCACACCACACCAGAATTGTATCCTGTTCAAGCGAACCAATGCGGGTGTGTATGTTAAGTTAACAACACCCCGAAACTGGTCTGCAAAACGCGGTGCGATGTGAAGAATCGGATCGTATGGGTGTGAAAACCCATGCGATCCGGTTCTAGTGCGGACCCAAAAAAGGGTCCTGCATGTTTTTGGTGCGGGTGCGGAGCGAATAGAGCCATACAAAATGTATGGCTCCAAAGGCACCACACACAAATCGCGGTGCGGTTCCTGTGCGAATCACATGCGATATATGGAGCTGCACGTATGTGAACCTGGGCTAAAGCTGGCCATAGATGGCTCTTTGTTAGCTGCCAGCAGAAGAAAGAATTATAAGGGTTGATATAAAGAAAGATAGGGTAGATTTACTAAAAAGACAAATAGTCTGTGCACTTTGGAAGGGCAGTTGCACTCGTTTACCAGAGAGCTTAGTAAATACCTGGGGCGGACTGACAACTCATGGGGCCGACTGACAACTCATTGGGCCACCGGGCAATAGGGGATCATGGGGCCCCTGTGTCCTTGCCAAAACTCAAAAAAGCCTATGAAAAAGGTACCAGGGCATCTCATGGGGCCCCCTACTGACCCCAGGCCCTCGGGCAGTGCCCGAGTTTCCAAATGGTCAGTCCGCCCCTGGTAAATACGGTAAAGATCTACTGATTCCATCATCCAATCATGTGCAAGAAGAAATTTTTTTTTTTTTAATTTTCCTTGTACCTGGTCAGGTAGTCTTTACAAAGAGAAGCTTTATTGCATTGACATTTACTAAGAAAAAAAAGAGTGCAACTGCACTTGCAAAGTGCCTACTCTATTTGCCTTTAGTAAATCAACCCCTTTAAGTCTTTAGGCTAGGTTCACATCAGGGGCGTCCCCTAGGGTTGGTGTCACCCGGTGCGGTAACACTTGGTGACACCCCCTCCGACAATTCCTGCAGAATGGATCGGATCTGCGGATTGAGCATAATGGATCGGACTCCGATCCATTATGCTCAATCTGCAGATCTGATCCATCCTGCAGGGATCGATGGCTTTCTTTACAACTTACCTTTTCGTGGAGTGGGTCCGGTGTCACCCAGTATAGGTTGCATGCCTACGATCCCCGCAGGATGGATCGGATCTGCAGATTGGGGAGCATAATGGATTGGACTCCGATCCATTATGCTCAATCTGCAGATCTGATCCATGCTGCGGGGATCTTCAGCTTTCTTTACAACTTACTTTTTCGTGGAGCGGGTCCGGTGTCCCCCCGTATAGGTTGCATGCCGACGATCCCCACAGGATGGTTCGGATCTGTGGATTGAGCATAATGTATCGGACTCCGATCCATTATGCTCCCCAATCTGCAGATCCAATCCATCCTGCGGGGATCGTCGGCTTCCTTTACAACTTACCTTTTCATGGAGCAGGTTTGGTGTCATCCTGTGCGGTCAGTGTCACCCGGTGCGGGTCACACCCCCCGCACCTGCCTCGGGACATCACTGGTTCACATATTTGCTGGTGTAAATTGCACGCATTCCCGCATCTGCAGGAAAACATGCTGCTAGTTAGCAGACACCACACTCTTAATCGCACCCACAAGCATCAGAAAATGCAGTGCGTTTTCGGGTGCAGGAATTTGCATGGTACTATTTTGAAAAAAGGTGCATGGACCAATTGTCCTGCATTTCCCACAGCTACACCAGCCCCTTCCAATGAATAAGCTGCTGTGCCCATACAGACATGGACCACACCAACTGCTTATATGCAAACCTAGCCTTAAGGTTGGTTCAAAGAACAAGCATTCTGCGGCCATCTAAAACACTAGCAGATTGTTTAGACACGAGCAACTGTACTGGGCATTTAAAGCAGAGCTTTAGGCTCCCCCCAAAAGATTAAAAGTCAACGGCTACAAATAAGGTATACTTACCTGTCCAGGGATGTCCTCACCAGAGCCAATTCTTCAGTTGGTTCCGGATGCAAGTGCAGGCATTTTCAGTTAGACTAGTTTCACACCTATGCAGTTTGCATTTGATCGCTCTCTGCAGTTTTCGCACATGCATTTTTGCTGCGTTTATGTTTTTTTTAACTTGTTGCTGGGCAGATTAAAGCGCAAAACGCATAAAAAGCGCATCAACAATTTACTAAATACTTTTCTGCAGCATCTTTATTGAAGTCTAGAGAACCAAAAACGCAACGTTGTGCTTTTAAAAAAAGTCTCTGACCCTTTCCAAAAAACGAACTGGGTGAAAATGTGGAGATGTGAACCTGACCTATAGGAAACGATACGAGGCATTGAGGAGCTCAGCTATGAGGAAAGATTAGAGGAACTGAATGTATTCTCTATTGAGAAAAGGAGATTAAGGGGGGATATGATCTCCATGTATAATACATAAGGGGGGATATGATCTCCATGTATAATACATAAGGGGGGTTATGATCTCCATGTATAATACATAAGGGGGGATATGATCTCCATGTATAATACATAAGGGGGGATATGATCTCTATGTATAATACATAAGGGGGATATGATCTCCATGTATAATACATAAGGGGGGATATGATCTCCATGTATAATACATAAGGGGGGATATGATCTCCATGTATAATACATAAGGGGGGATATGATCACCATGTATAATACATAAGGGGGGATATGATCTCCATGTATAATACATAAGGGGGGATATGATCAACATGTATAATACATAAGGGGGGTATGATCTCCATGTATAATACATAAGGGGGATATGATCAACATGTATAATACATAAGGGGGGGGGTATGATATCCATGTATAATACATAAGGGGGGATATGATCTCCATGTATAATACATAAGGGGGGATATGATCACCATGTATAATACATAAGGGGGGATATGATCTCCATGTATAATACATAAGGGGGGATATGATCTCCATGTATAATACATAAGGGGGGATATGATCTCCATGTATAATACATAAGGGGGGATATGATCACCATGTATAATACATAAGGGGGGATATGATCTCCATGTATAATACATAAGGGGGGATATGATCACCATGTATAATACATAAGGGGGGATATGATCTCCATGTATAATACATAAGGGGGGATATGATCTCCATGTATAATACATAAGGGGGGATACGATCTCCATGTATAATACATAAGGGGGAAACGATCTCCATGTATAATACATAAGGGGGGATACGATCTCCACGTATAATACAAAAGGGGGGATACGATCTCCACGTATAATACAAAAGGGGGGATACGATCTCCACGTATAATACAAAAGGGGGGATACGATCTCCACGTATAATACAAAAGGGGGGATACGATCTCCACGTATAATACAAAAGGGGGGATACGATCTCCACGTATAATACAAAAGGGGGGATACGATCTCCACGTATAATACAAAAGGGGGGATACGATCTCCACGTATAATACAAAAGGGGGGATACGATCTCCACGTACAATACAAAAGGGGGGATACGATCTCCACGTACAATACAAAAGGGGGGATACGATCTCCACGTACAATACAAAAGGGGGGATACGATCTCCACGTACAATACAAAAGGGGGGATACGATCTCCACGTACAATACAAAAGGGGGGATACGATCTCCACGTACAATACAAAAGGTGGATACGATCTCCACGTACAATACAAAAGGGGGGATACGATCTCCACGTACAATACAAAAGGGGGGATACGATCTCCACGTACAATACATAAGGGGGATACGATCTCCACGTATAATACATAAGGGGGATACGATCTCCACGTATAATACATAAGGGGGGATACGATCACCACGTATAATACATAAGGGGGGATACGATCACCACGTATAATACATAAGGGGGATACGATCTCCATGTATAATACATAAGGGGGATACGATCACCATGTATAATACATAAGGGGGGGTATGATCTCCATGTATAATACATAAGGGGGGATATGATCACCATGTATAATACATAAGGGGGGATATGATCTCCATGTATAATACATAAGGGGGGATATGATCTCCATGTATAATACATAAGGGGGGATAAGATCTCCATGTATAATACATAAGGGGGGATATGATCTCCATGTATAATACATAAGGGGGGATAAGATCTCCATGTATAATACATAAGGGGGGATAAGATCTCCATGTACAATACATAAGGGGGGGTATGATCTCCATGTATAATACATAAGGGGGGATATGATCTCCATGTATAATACATAAGGGGGGATATGATCACCATGTATAATACATAAGGGGGATATGATCTCCATGTATAATACATAAGGGGGGATATGATCTCCATGTATAATACATAAGGGGGGATAAGATCTCCATGTATAAAACATAAGGGGGGATAAGATCTCCATGTACAATACATAAGGGGAGAGCTGTGAAAATGTGGAATAGACTCCCTCAAGAAATGGTTCTGGCCAGCTCAGTGGATTGCTGTAGGAAAGTCCTTTGATTGTTTCTTAGATACACAGAATATAACTGGATAATAACATTTATAGGTAAAGTTGATCCAGGGAATATCCGATTGCCTCTCAGGGGATCAGGAAGGAATTTGTGCAAATTGGATCATGCTTTGCTGGGTTTTTTGCCTTCCTCTGGAGCAACTGTGGGTGTAGGATTATAACCTTTTTTTTTTTTATGGTTGAACTGGATGGACTTTTGTGTTTTTTCAGCCAGACTAACTATGTAACTATGAAATCATGTTAAATGGACTTCTGTGATTTTCCGCAAAACGTATAGGTGTGAACCTAGACTAGAAGGGAAAATGGCAGTGAAGCCTTGCAGCTTCACAGCCAATTACCTACTGCGCATGTGCAAAGTGAGTGGTCCCACAGTCTTCTGGGACC